CACACTGCGCCAAGGATCTGAACACCTAAGATCGATTCCTGGCCCTGGCTGACACGCGTGACAAGTGGTGTCCCGAAATAGCCCTGGGTCTCTCCTAGCTCAGCTCAGTTCTAAACGAGTACCTTGATGCAATCTAAATTCAGGAGATCATCGATTATCCGGAGGCTTCAGGGGGGGGGAGGAGGGCACGCCGGATTTTCAAAAACGCCGGATCACTACATTATTATTTAAAATAGCTTATTTTTGCACATTATTGCATGACATTATGTTTTTAGGTGTCGTTATATGTAGTTTTTATTTGTGTTGCAAATTTGTTTACTATTTGAATAAATAAACAAATAGACAAAAAAATTGTATTTTTAAAAGATACTGTATTTAATGTACCGTACTTACCACTCCAATCTCGAAGACTAAGCATGGGATGGTATATATACGTGCAGTATTTACATTGTTTAAATTGTATGTAGTGTACAATGTATAGTATGTAATATTTAACACTGAAATCAAGCGTTGCTACTTTTTTTTGTAACGCACGCGGTGCCGATAGCCGGACTGCGTGACAGCCTTTGGAGCGGTGGTTTTTCCGGATCAGCCCGGGACCGCCGGATAATTTTGGGACCGCCTGATAATTTTAGAAGCAGCCGGATAATCGATGATCAACGGTGTCGACACTGGGGAGAGAACGGTAAACAGGTGCGCAGTTCTGGCCAAACTGTGTCGACCTTATGAGGAGCTCACCAACATCACTAGTCCCAACGGTCAATTGGGCTAAAACGAGGAAACACATTCCTGCGGAGGGAGCTGGTAGAAAAGTTGGGTTGCTCGGTCAATGGCCAGAGTCAACGGCGGCGTGGTGTATTCCGCAAATATGGCCGACTGTGAAGGCGGGCACAAGCCGGCGTGAGTGGGTTAAACGTTGAGGTTTATAAGGGCACCATGGGGTGACCAGCCCCTCCCCACCCAGTCCCACCCCTCCCACCCCCCACCCAGCCCCACCCTCCCCACCCCTCCCATCCCCCACCCAGCCCCACTCTCCCCACCCAGCCCCTCCCCACCCTCCCCACCCAGCCCCACCCAGCCTCTCCCCACCCTGCCCTCCCCACCCAGCCCCACCCTCCCCACCCAGCCCCTCCCCACCCTCCCCTCCCCACCCAGCCCCTCCCTGCACGACGGACGGACACAATAATCCCCTGTGGGCTGGTCGAACCAGGTGATTCCTACCAGTATAACTGTTTTTTGTCTCCGTGTGTGTGTGGTAGCATATGGGGAGCGGTAGTGTAGTGGTTAGCGCACTGCGCTACGAACCCGGCGACCCGAGTTCGATTCCCGATCACGTCCAACACTGGTGACGATTATCTGAACCTGTCCTGGGCCTCCCCTAGGTCGACTCGGCCTCAATTGAGTACCTGGTGCGATGTCATTAGGGAGAGAAATTCGGCCGGGCGTCGTGTTGCTGGCCACCCACCCCCTCGTGTGCCGTGCCGGCTTTTAGAGGTGCTCGCTAACAGCACTTGCCGCAAAAGTCTGTTAAGGCTGTACTGGGGGATCTTTGTCTTTTTTGCACGTGAGCATAAGTACAGTCTCAGAAACAGTGAACGTGAATGTGGATGTGTTATGCTGTCCGCTCAATAATTTACGCATTAGAGTAGCAACTAGATGAGGCGATGGAGTAATGTACCGCACACGTGCGTCTGCACCACGCGGTACTGGTTCACATCGCCGACTTGCCCGGAGCCGTGAACCGCAACCACCACACGAGAGAGAATGTTCCGCTTGAAGGAAGGCCATCTCACACAACGTCCACATTTTGCCTGGTGACATGGCCGGGCGGTAGCGCATTTGCCACTTGTTGCAAAGGTTCAAGGTTCAAATCTGGCAGGCCACCCCGATTGGGGTGCCACATTAATCCCCCCCCACTTTGCGCAAGAGCGCAGAAGCGTGGTCACCACATCTACGCCTCCATATAAGGAACAAACCAGGTGGACTTCTCCACAAATCTGGCTGTCACCTGATGAAGCTGGTTGTAATTACTGGCGAAACCTCGTACTTAGATTGTAAATGTTGTGGCTTGGCTTTCCAACACACAACCGGTGTGCTGTACTAGTATACTACACTATACACTACACTATACACTTGTGCTGTACTAGTATACTACCCTATACACTACACTATACACTGCACTATACACTACACTATATACTACACTATACACTAGTGCTGTACTAGTATACTACACTATACACTACACTTATACACTGCACTATACACTACACTATACACTACACTGTACACTAGTGCTGTACTAGTGACGAATTGTCATGTTCTGTTTACGTGACAACCCTTACTAGTTGGCTGTGTCGGGTGGTGGCGGGTTTTAACGACACATTTATATATCTAACCTACAAAAAAACTTCTTATGGATGATATTGTTCGCGAAAGCCTCCTATGTGTTAAGAAGGCAGATCGCTTCGTCACTCATTCGGTTGAATTGTTGTCCTGCTCCCACCGCCCCCTCACCCCGCCCGAATGTTTTAAGCCCCCCTTTAAACAAGGTCAGGCTACAGGGCCGGTGTGTTGCGTGCGTGCAAAGCCAACTTGGAAACCCACGTGGCATCACCCCCGCCCCCACCCGCAAGAAAGGAACGCTCGGCGCGGATGCTACAATCCAATCATGAAAATTTTGACACACCGCCCACAACTACATTTTTAAAATGAAGAGCAATCTCAGCATTATCCTGAATGACTCCTCTTCTTTAATGGGGACGGAAAGCGGTGTACCGAGATAAAACCCACACGTGCACTTAAATGAATGGCACTTAAAGCCCAATAATAGGGCTCTCCTATCAGCAACCAATCAGCTGAACTACCTCCTACGAGCACTGTCTCCATAGGCTGCACAATCCCCGAGTAATTTGTTCAGTTTGTTCTCCTTCGCCCCGGCACCTCCGATTAGCACGGTCGGCTACGCACGGTGCGAAAGAGGTTCATCGCACGTACGTACGTACTTTCACCAACCTCACACCTCCAAGATCAGTGAAACCCTCGTCCTCCCGGTCATTGTTCCCCTCCTCTTGCTTCCACACCGTGCCGTTGTTCTTTGGCACCGGCCGACCTCTCCGTTGGCGAGAGCGGCGGACGGGGCGATGGGATCGTGGGTCGCACGCCGCAGCGAGACAGAGTGTCGCATCGTGGCACCGCGTGAGGTGGCCGACGGCTTTGCGAAGCCTCCATCCGGCAACCGCTAGAGCATGGCTGCTGGCGATGACGACGACGGTGAATGAATTAAGTCGTAGACACAGGCCACGCGGTTAAACCGGGCCAAATTCTCCCCGTCGTGGTCGTAGGGTTTGCTACGTTCAGCGTCGACAGCTTGAGGCCCATTACCGGGCTCCCATCGCTTAATACGTGAATTTGCCCTTTCCCCGCCTTCCCCTCCCTCCACCCATCAACTGCTAATTAAACTTGGCCCACATTAATCTTTAAGCACACACGCTATTCATCGCCCCTTCATTAGACTGCCGATCAATACGACGGAAGGGAGGGGGGGTCATATTTTTTTGTACTTCTCTATCCCTTCTGGCTTCTCCCGCTCTGCCTAAAGAAATAAATAAACCAAAACAAACGTGAAATAATGAAAGAGACAGCTAAAGCCCTTTGTGCCGTCTTAATGAGCAGGCGGGCGCGCATTAATGAGTGTAATAATGCGGAGCGCTCGTTTAGCGTGCGCGGGAAAATGCCACCGGCAAATTAGGCTCTTAGTTACAGCGCGCAGCGAAGTCGATAAGATTTATCGCGGGGGGCCTTGCGGTGCTCAGGACCAGGGTGGAAAAAAAAAACTTTTGACTTAATTTGGTCACCATCCACCCCAACGATTCGTTGACAAAACACAACGTTGCCGATCGGAAAAAAATTGCGTGCTCAAGTCCCGGTCAAGGGTCATTGTCGTCCTCATCATCATCATCATCGTTCCTCTTTCTTTCTTACTCGTTAAAGTCCCTACTATTGGTGAAAAGACCTCCCCAAATGTGTCCAACTCTTCACAATCACTTATCACCTCTATCCAGTACACTTCCCCCCCGCCGCATCTCTGATTAGCACGGTTGGGTACGTACCGTGCGAAAGAAGTTAAACATACATCTTTCAACCTGGTCACAGCCATCTAACTTCATATCCAGCTCCCTTCCTGCGACCCTCTGTCGGCTTTCCGTTCTGTGATTAATTTTCTACATCTGCCCAACAATTTGTTATTTTTTTACTTTGTAAATTGCATGTTATACCAGTTGTCATTCTTAAAGCTTTATTTATAATTGTGCCTCTTGCCATTCTGTTCAAAGTCCTCTTTTCCAATACTCTACCTTGTTACGAAAGAACATGAAAGTTCCAAATATGCCATCATTACTACTCAAGGGTACAATGACAAGTGAATAGTGTTTGTTCTATGGATGATCACTGCCCATGCTTGTGTGCGTAAAGGGACGCGTTGATTTGACGTCACATTCATTCTGAGAGGACATAAGGGTATATATGTTGAACTTATTTTGCACCATACGTAGCCCACCGTGCTAATCGGAGGTGCGGGTGAAATCACACTGGAATTGTGACTTGTGTTCATTGAATGCCATGTTCCTCCGTACGTTACGCGATCACATGAACGCCACCACAGCACAAATTAACAAAAGGGTAACATAGTGCATCAAGCAAGCGGTGTGCCACGACTGCTCAACCGTCACGCGATTTCCAAGCAGAGCCTTGGGGTCCAAGCCCTTTGCGCCACGCCATTCTCCGATTGGCTGTTAGTTCACTTACATTAAAAACGGCTCAACTAACGGAGAAAACAGTGGCACGTGCATTCGAAGATCCGGTTGGATTCAGCGATCCAGTACGGTCCAACCGCCCCCCGACCACCCCGCCCCCTGCCGCCACCTGCGACCCTCCCCGTTAACTACACTAAACACAAATAATGAACAAGGTACAGGCCCGGAAGATGTGCCGTTACTTACAGAGGGAGCTGGACTTCCGCTGGCGCTGCCGGAGCCGCCGGCCCGCGCCGCTGCCGCCCCTTGCCGCCCACTCTGCTCAGCAGCCAGCCCGGCGAGGTGTCGCTCCAGCGCGTCCCAATCCATGGTGGGAAGAGGAGCGTCAGCCCCATCATCTCCGCCGACACCGCCGCCGCCGTCGGACGTGACATTTGCAGAGGCAGTGATGGCAGCGGCAGCAGAACTGGAAGTCACGACGGCAACGGCGGTTGCGGTGCCGCCCCCCCTTACGCCGCCACTGATGGCCGCTTTGGCTGCGGCCGCTCCCAACGATCCACCGCCGGCCCCCGTGCCAGCGCCCCGGACGCTCGAGGAGTTGGCGTTGGGCGAAAGTTGCCGGGGTAGGGAGGTGGCGACGTCCTGGCCGCGCGTGCCGCCGCTCACGCCGGCACCACCACCGCCGCCGCCACCGTCATGGGCCGAGTTGGCATTGGGCGACAGCGTGGGGCGCCCGGGCAGAGGGGAGGTGCGGCCATCACTGGCACGACCTCCTCCTCCCGTCACCTGGTCGCTGGCACCACCACCACCGCCGCCGTCGTCGTCGTTACAGCGGAGGAGTCTGACGGCTCGAACGCGCTCCTCCTCCACATCGTCGTGCCACTCCTGCAACACGCAGCGCTCATACTCCCGGAAGTCGGAGCCGCCGGAAGTGTCGTCGTCATCGTCGTCGTCGTCGTTCCGTCCCTTTCTCCCCTCCCGCTCTTCCTCCTCCTCCTCCTCTTCATCGTCGTCATCGAGCTCCAGGCTCGGGGAGCTCTTTCCCTCGGAGCAGGGAGTCTCCTTGGTGGAGCACGCCTCCGAGCTGGAGCGACTCAGGCACGGGTCACTGCTCAGGTCCATAACATCCTCGCGCGAGTCCTGCGCCGCAGACACAAGGTCGCACCGCACACAGTGCCGCGTCGTTAACTCATCCGGGAAAGAGCCATGTTGAGGCGCTAACTTGGCACGTTTGGGGGAAAAAAATACAAAAAATCCTTTTCCGGTTGTTTTACGGATAAGAGGAAAACGGACCGGAGAAGTTGCTCAAATGTAGAAAACCGCAAATGTTAGTTTGGTGTTGTTTATTCACAAAAGCCTAAACCCATATCGAGGACTTTTCCATGAAGTTGCTGCATTTGGGATATTCAGACAATTCCACATCAGGCTGTGTGTGTTGCTCTTGAGAATCCATAGCCGTAAAAATCCACGCGTGTAATGGCGTAACACTCAAAAATACTGTTCGTAGCATCAAACATTAATTTAATGACAACAATTTACAGCCTTTTGTCAATCAGCTGCTGAATGAAATCCTCCCCGTGCTGTGTAGGTGATTTCGGTGGCTTGACTACACATGGCCACTCTGGTCAGCCCAGGCTGTTGAAGGGCAGGATGACCAGAACTGTTTCAGATCTCCCTCGCCACTGCTTACCTCTCCTCTCTCATCTCACTCCAAGCCAGAGGTCGCAAACGGGGTTTGATTCCTTACGAGTACCCGTACCCGGCCGCACCAGGGTCGAAAACGGGTACCCGTACACGTACCCTACCCGATACCCGGCTACCCGTATCCGGCCGGGTATCGGGTAGGGTACGGGTACCCGATTGCGACCTCTGGGATGAAGCCATGTTGCAGGCGCGGGTGGGTTGATTCTAGGAACTTAAATTGTGAGAAGAGACAAGACGTTGGGAAATGAGTGACAAACGGTGACTCACCAGCGACTCACGGCCTACCCGTACCCGTACCCGGCCGCACCAGGGTCGCAAACGGGTACCCGTACCCAGCCGGGTACGGGTAGCCGGGTATCGGGTAGGGTACAGGTATCGGGTACCCGGTTGCGACCTCTGCTCCAAGCACTCCGCTCCAGCAACCACATTGCCCACATTGTCTGGAACTCCCTTCACCCAGTCATCTGTGCTGTCGATTCCCTGGTCAAATCTTCGGCTTAAAGTTCTTCTGTCCCCTTATCCTCTGCCTCTTGCTCATTATATGTATAAATAATTACCCATCCTTTCCCCACGATACCCATGTCCCACTGCTTTGTACAGCACCTTTAGAAGCAGTTCCATTAAAATTATATTAATGTGGTAACGTGGGGGGAAAGCATCAAAGACCATGTAATTCGCGGCTCTCCGTGATAATACTCATGATTTCTGCGTAGAAAAATCGCCGATGTTCAGAGGTTTTCGCCACGCGGCGAGAATTATCCACGACAAATGTGGGGATTTACAGGAGTAGCATGGCACGTGACTGACCACTCGTATAATTTGCAACAACAAAAAATTACTGTATAAATATCGCCATTTATTACAAAATAAATTGGGGGGGGAGACTAAGTGGAGCAAATCTCCCATGAGGGCCAAGAGTTACAGATTTTGCACAAAAATTTGTATTAAAATCCAAAGCGGATTAAGTCTCGCGGTCAATAGGCCACATCAGCACAGGGGAGTCTGTGCCACGTCAACCAACATCGAGGCTTTTTAAAATCCTTTATATTAAGTTCACTTGCTTGCGCGCTTACGACCGTGCAAATCTTTCGGTCGTTTTTTAACCCACTTCCCGTGATCCAATCGAGCTGACATTTTGCACACAGACTCGTTGTGCGTGATAATTTATTTTCGTGAAAAATTTTTTCACAAATTTTCCACTTTTTAGGAGAAAAAAAAATTAGATTTAATTTAAAATACCAATGTGATAAAAATGAAATTCTTACTCAAGAAAAACAGAAATGAATAATAAAATAAAACCGATGCCACGCATATAGTGAAAAACTTTGTTTTTACGGGTTAATTTTTACTGTTGTTTTAATGCCTGTATCTCTCCTGTCTCTGTTGTGAGACATCTCAATTGGGTGATGCGTTTTGGAACGTGGCAGGCTTCTTGGAAGCGGGCCGGCATGATCACGATATCTCACGAAGTTTAGTGGGGAATTAGACACAAACAATATTCACATTTTTCACAGATATATAATTTTTTGACACCCTCCTGTGAATCGCGGGGATAACGCATTATTTTAGGATTCCTGGTGGTTTTATTCCATAGTGTATTATTATATTGTTATTTTCATAATTTTTTATAATGCAATTTATCATGTCCACAATATTTCACAGGCATAAATGAATGTGAATCATGGAGCAAAACTCAGTGTCTCTCAAAGGCCAGGTGAAAGGCAGGTTGCAGATTGAATATTTGCAAATGTGCAGTGGGGTGGTGTTCCAGACAATTTTTGGTATCTATCACTGAGAAGGATTAACTTTGATTATTATTAATTTTGCTGATAAGAAATGCAATAAAGCTTTGTGTTCATTCAAATGATGCCACATTGTTTCAAAGGATCATTGGCGGAATACCTGAACAACAAGTTTGTCTTGTTCAGGAGGAGAATATCATGGTGGATGGGTGTGAACGTGTGAAAAGGAACTTGTAAAAGACAACTGGATTTCTCTCCAAGGTAAATTATGATAGATATCTAAAACTAACTGTTTAATTTTTTTTTTAATTACATTATGATTTTTGGAACATGTCGCAAAATTGTTTATTTCTAAGTGGGCCGCAGCTGCTTTCCTAGATCTCCGGCCTGATGTGAGTTGCCTTTGTGGGCAGAATCTTCCAGGCCAGAATACAGGGTTAAGGAAAGTGTTTGAGGCCTGGCCGAGCTTAAATTGTTCCATTTTCCGTTTTATAGTGCTTGCACTTTATTGCCGCAAACGTTTCAATGTTTGAAAAGTACAGGAATTTAAATCGTCGTGTTGCCTACACAGTACTCAACTTGCTTTTCTTCTCTCTTCTCTTCTTCTTTAGTGCTGCCTAACGGCGTGTGCGACTTCACGATGATATTGGTCCCGGTCTAGCACGGCGTGTAAAGTTTGTGCTGTTGTTAATTGTAGCCATGTTTTGAAGTTACTGAGCCATGTCGTTTTTGGCCGTCCTGGTCGTTTTTTCCCTTCGATTTTTCCTTCCAGGATTTGCTTTAATAGCTGGTATTTGTGGTCGTTTCGGGCAATGTGGCCTAGGTAGTAACACTTCCTGCTAATGATGGTCTTCAGCAGTTGCCTGTCAGTGCCCATATCTTGCATAACTTGTGTTTTGGTGGTTTTGGCTGTCCATGGGATTTTCAGCATCCTTCGATACAGCCACATCTCGAAAGCTTCGAGCCTTTTTGTTGTTGTTGTTGTCAGTGTCCACGTCTCTACTCCGTACAGCAAAATTGACCAGATGTAGCATTTCAGTGTGCGCAGTTTCAGTCATGTACTCAAGTTGCGGTCTGCAAGGACTGTTTTCCATTTAATAAATGCTTGCCTTGCTTGTTCAATTCTGCTCTTGATTTCGACTTCATGGTTCAACTGATCGTCAATGATTACACGAAGGTATTTAAATCGGTGTACTTGTTTCAATTTTTTGCTGCCAAGCTTGATTGTTATTTCGCTTGTAGTTCGGCTGACCTTCATAACCTTTGTTTTCTTTTTATTAATTCGTAAGCCCCATATTTGGCTCTCTGTGGCAACCTCGTCCAAGATTTGTTGTAAGTCTTGTTCCGAATCGGCCAGCAGTGCAGTGTCGTCGGCATACCTGATGTTGTTGATGTATTGTCCATTGACTTTAATACCAATGTTTTTATCTGTTAGTGTTCGATCAAAAATCTGCTCCGAGTAGATGTTGAAAAGACTGGGTGAAAGTGGGCAGCCTTGTCGTACACCTTTTTGTATTGGTGTTGAGTCTGTCAATTCGTTCTCTCATTTTAATTCAATTCGGTACCATTATCATTTATGCAATATTACTATGGGAGTAATAAAGCTCAGTTTTTATTTGATTATACTTTTAATCTATGTTTGGCATGCTGATGAAAAACTAATTCAGATTCCTGCATGTACATACTGTATTAATGAGCATGAATTACATTTCGGATTTTTTTCTTCATGTGTAAATTAATTGAATTCTGTATTCTTTTCTGCAGTGTGTGCACTGTACACGACTCTTGTGTTTAAGTTTTGCTTAAGTCAGACATCTGTTTCCACTAAAATGGGTGGGGAGGGTGGGGAGGGGAGGGTGGGGAGGGGCTGGGTGGGGGGTGGGAGGGGTGGGGCTGGGTGGGGAGGGGCTGGTCACCCCGTGGTGCCCTTATAAAACTCAACGTTTAACCTACTCACGCCGACTTGTGTCCGCCCTCACAGTCGGGCATATTTGTGGAATACACCACGCCGCCGTTGACCCTGGCCATTGACCGAGCAACCCAACGTTCCTACCAGCTCCCTCCGCAGGAACGAGTTTGACTGTCAGGCAGTAAAATTATGGCATAATTGTAGCAGCAGAACTATTCTTAACCGTGATTCTATTATCCACGGCAGCTGTAGGTCCACCAAGAGCTTATTATCCAGACCCTGTTACGATTTTCCACGTTCCCATCCTTCGTTGCGGATTGGCTTCCTCTCATCTGGAATTTGTATGCAGACGAGGGGAGGATTCGTGCGTCATTCATCGAGATTATCTACAGGTTCTTGGAAATAATATTTTTTTTAAGCAGTGCTGAAATAAATTGTGAGTACATTAAAATGCATTCAAATGATTATACATTGATCCTCCTTTGGCAGCGTGTTTGCTAACACAGGGCACATAAGCAGCTATTGAAACGCTCTTCCACTTGTGATCAAATCTCTCGCTGATAAGTGAAGTCGCGCGGTAAATTCACCCTATTATCTGCAATTGCGTGCAATTTATCTTGGATTCAATTTGGGGATAAAAGTTGTAAGGCACAGTCTTTTAACTCCAGGATGGAGCTAGTGGTTAACAAACATTTTGTATCAACTCGGCGACATGAGTTTGAATTGCCTTTCTTCTGGCACAAACTTGCTGCGCTGACATTGAACTGTTGCGACGTAAGGGATTT